GATTTTTTCGCCGGTTTCCGGCTGTCTCTGGCGTTGACTTTTTTTAGTGTTTTTTTTTTTTGGTTTTTTTTTTGTTTGGTTTGTTTTTTTTTTACGTCCGCCGCTAAACGTTAACCGTTAATTGTGCTGTCACTGACAGTAAATTAATGTAATTATACTGTCAATGACACTTAATTAACGTAATTGTACTGCCGTTGACAATACATTTATGTAATTGTGCTGTATTGTTATTTTTTTTATATTTTGTTGTTTTTTTTTATTTTGTTTGATTTGTTGACAAGTCAACGTAATTATATTACTGTCGTTGACAGTAAAATTTGTAAACACAATAATATTACTGTCAACAACATCAATATTATTATTTTTTTGGGTTTTTTGTTTTTGTTGAGTTATTCACGGAGTAACGTAATAATATTACTGTCTATTATTGTAATATTACTGTAAACACAATAATATTATTGTGGTTGACGGTAATATTACTGTTGTTATAGTAATTTTGTTGTCAACCAAATCAATATTATTATTTTGTTTGGATTTTTTGTTTGTTTGAGTTATTCACGGAGTAACGTAATAATATTACTGTCTATTATTGTAATATTACTGTGGTTGACGGTAATATTACTGTTGTTATAGTAATATTACTATCACTCACAATAATATTAATTCTTTTGGTTTTTTATTACGTTTACATTTGTTGAACGGTCAACATAGTAATATTATTCTATTACACAATAATAATGAGTTTTGTTGTGTTAATATTACTGTGCTAGAGATTAATATAGCAACATTAATGTGTTAAACTGTAGTTTAGTTAATTTTACTGTGTTTAACAGTAAGATAGTTAATATTACTGTCAATCACAGCAATATTGTTGTTTAAACGAAAAAAAGAGTTACAGAAAGAAAGAAAAGAAGAAGAAAAAAAAAATCAAAAAATTCAACGCCGGAAACCGGTGAAAAAATCCAGAAGAAAAAAAAAATTTGAAAAGTCGACGCCGGGAAAAAAAAAGTTTTTGAAAAAAAAAATTTGAAAAAAAACATTTTGGGTCAAAATTGAATAATTTATGAAATTTTGGGTCAAATTGAGGTTAAATAAAGTTAAGGATGAAGTTGGAGCATATTAAAGTATGAGGGGTTATTTTAGTCCTTTACAAAAATTTGGACCATGTGTGGACTTATTGGTAAATGAGGTTTTTGTCTGGATCTCTTTATGAATAAGTACACATTGATGAACATATTTGTAAAGACCGCCACAATATATATACAATCAATAGAGAGGTAAAAAGAAAAAAAAAAGGAAAAAAGGCCAAAGACTATAATAAATGTTGATAACAAGAAACTAAACAGGTGGAATCAACATATTAATATTGAAACGGAATGCAAATGGTGAGAGGGTATTTGGTACATTTTGTAATAGAGGAATATGTTTGAGACACACCATAATTTAGAGGTGTAAAATGAAGTTTACCCAAAAAAAATTCAAAAATAACAGATATTATAAAATAATAAAGTATTACATTGAATTAATTAATCAAGTGTAATTTCTAACACTTGTATATACCTAGTACTAGACATGACCACTGGTTCAGTTAGGGTCGGAACCGAACATGGGTCAACTGTTATTGAACTGAATCGGAACCGGTTTGACCACAACCGGAACCGGAATCGAGAAAATCGGTTCGGTTCCGGTTCTCCATTTTCCAAACCAAGAACCGACGGTAGGAACCAATTTTTTTTTAATTTATTTAAACGGTTGGATTTAAAAAAAAAAAAGGAAAAAAAAAATGAAATACCACGGTGACAGCTCCAAATTGTTGGCAATTCTAAACGGTCGGATTTTCAAAAATTAAAATTTAAAGTTTAATTTTAAACTTTAAAATTGAAAAATTAAGTGCAAGCCCTTTCAATTTCTTTCATCTTCCTTTTTTAATTTTTAAAACTAAAACTAATTCCTTCAATTTTTATAAAAATAAAAATAAAAAATACTTTTTTAAGTATTTTAAAAAAACTTTAATTTTTTTAAGTTTTTGAAGTATTTTTTCCACTTTTTTTTTAACTTAACTATTTTTAAGTATTTTTTTAAATTTAATTTACACACACACACACACACCACACACACACACACATAGTGAGAACAGGCCGGCTCTACAGCGTTCTAACTGGGAACTGTAAAGAACCGAAACGCAAAGAACCGGAAATATTCGGTTTGGTTCCGGTTCCTCCAAAATCGGGGAACCGGCGTTTTGGAACCGGAACCGGAACTGAATCGAACCGAGGTCATGTCTACATAATACTCCCTCTGTTCCATAATAACTGTCTCATTTTAAAAAAAAAAATCATTATTATCTGTTACTTTAATTTCCAATACCACATTAATTACTTAAGTTCAAGCTTATACCCTTGTTAACTCTTTCTAATATTTTTTTTCTAATTCATTTTCTCTCTTATTAATTATAAGTTACCGTCATTTTAGTCTAAAATCGTACATTTTTCATAAAATCAAGACATATTTAATGAAATTCTTAATTCGCGTGCAAAGCCAAAAACGACTATTAAAAGGGAACGAATGGAGTAAAATCTTATCTATACGCTATTTATTGATTACATTTTAATGGTTAGCTCAATTTCATTAAAAAAATATTATTTTAAAAGGAGTGATTCGATCGACATTATGTAGCTGACTCATACTCATTCATCAAAATGCAACAGTAAAGGTCCAAATCAAGCATAGTTAGGAATACGATTTTTTATTTTTATTTTTTATTACTTTTTCTTTTATCTAATATTGTAAATCCTGCAGGTTTCCAACAAAAAATACTTGGGTTGTTGCCAACACAACCCATTAACCAAATAATAAAATATAATTGGTAATGGTTGGGGCCAATAATTAGAATATTGGACAAAGAAGTCAGACAAATTAAACTTTGGACAAAAACTAATAACGTTTGTTTATAGGGTCTATTAGATATAACCCCCTTAAACATTCAAATAATAGGGGTAGACCCAAATTTAAATTTGCCATTTTGATAAAAGCCCAAGCTTTTCGTAATTACATAATTACCCTCAATCAAATCCCACAAATCCCGTTACTTTACCTTTTTAAAATTAATAGACTATCTCATATCTTTTAATAGACTATCTCATGTATCTAATTCGACTATGGGTTTGATTAATTGACTATTGGAAAAATAATAATATATATGGAAACTGAATAATATGTTTGTTTGAAATACTAATCAATTAGGGTAATTTTCCTTATTATATGAAAACGATTAGGGTAAATAATAATATATATGAAAAATAATAATATATATGGAAACTGAATAATATGTTTGTTATACTAATCAATTAAGGTAATTTTCCTTATATCATGTAATAGACTATCTTATTGATCTAATTCGACTATGAATCTCGTTAATAGAATATGGATCCCGTATTATTCAACCACATAGTATATTAATAATTTCAATATAGTACATTAATCTGCTGTGATAGTATATTACGGTTATAGTATTGATATGAAATTGTGTTACAAACAATATACCACTGAAATGACAAGAACATTGAGAACAACACCAACGTAAAGTATTCCACATAACCAATAAAATAGTACATTAATAATCTCATAATTTCAATCTAGGGTTTTGATAAAATACATAAAACACATCATAACACAATCAAACCAATATGTCGAGTTAAGAAACTCTAGTACATTAATAATCTCATAATAGTATAATAAAATGATAATGGTAGTATCATACGGTATTCATAATAGTATACTACTGTATTACAACGGTTTAACACTTAACCGAAGTTACCGAGCCATTACATCGTAAACACCTCTTTATAGCAACCAACCCACCAAACCTCAACAAAATCCGTACGAAATTCGCCATCGAAAAAACCTAAAATCATGAAACAAAATTAAAAATGCAGAATACTAAAAAATAATTAAATAGACTGCAAATACATTTGAATGATAATACATTAATATCATCAAAAATAAACTTAAAATGCAAAATTCATACGCTAAATTAAAAAAGACTACGAACTATATTTTAATGTACTACCCAGCACACTTAAATCGGCTGTTATAAACAAATAAACCAACTATCGACCGGGATAAAAACATGAACTCGACCAAAGCGGACAATTATTCCGATTATTGCATAAACCAACTACGAAGCTCATATAAAACAACTCTGGTCCGATCTGCGTGAACCATCCTCTTCTAACTCTGTCAATCCTCTTCCAAACAAACATCATCGGCAAAAAAAAAACGATATATATATGACGGAATAATTTTGTTAAAAAACGTTCTACTTAATAGAATCAAGTATCAACACAACTCTTAAAAATTTCTAACCACCGTACAAGACAATCATGGACATTGAGCAAAACATAAAAACGAATAACGCATTCATACCCGCTTAACAACGTCCAACAACAAACGCTCAAAAATCGATCCTATTTCCACGACGGTGCAGAAATCTTCAATGACGATAAAATCCGCTGGAACGATGAAGAGAATCTTCAAAAAATATTATACACGATTTGATATAACGGCCAATGATCTCACGTAAATTTATTCCGTGATTTTAGGCAACGTATCAGCAAATCTCAAATCACGTATTAAAGGAAATAAATGCCGTTTAATAATAAAACAGGGGTATTAAAGGGAAATTATATAATATATTTTGTCAAGTTGGCAAAATTGGGTGTATCTCAAAAAGGGGAAAAAAATTTGGATCTACCTCATTAGAAAATATGAACAAGGGGGTTTTCCCTAATAAACCCTTGTTTATATATATGTATATACGTATGTATATATTAAGTTTAGTAAAACGACAGAAACGAATATAGATGAAGCCGATCAACCTTAGATTCCATGTCTAAGATTTAATTAACAAGGCAGCCTGTTCCACGTTCTATAAAAATCAGCTACTAAACCACATAATAATCAAACAAGAAAATAAAAAGAAAAAAAAAAGAAAAAAGAAAATGGAATTCAGTTGCAAAGAATTCAAGGTGGGAAAATGCGAAGGGGAGAGGCTGGTGGAAGGGGAGACCATACCGCTAGTGCTGCGGCCGCCCGCAGAGGATAAAAACCAGTTGGAGTGTTTGTTGGAGGCAATAGGGAAAAACAAGGAATGGTTTCATCAGATGATAGTGAAGAACAGCGCAGTTCTTTTGAGGGGATTTGATGTGAAGAATGCTGTTGACTTCAACGACGTGGTGGAGGCGTTCGGGTGGGACGAGATAAGGTACGTGGGGCCCGCACCGAGGACGCAGGTTCACAAGAGAATTTGGACAGCCAATGAAGGTGACTTGTCTGAGTTCATACACTATCACCATGAGATGCTCTCGGTCAGTATTACTGTATATTGAATTTGTGTGTGTGATCGCGCGCGCTTACGTTAATTAATTTATGCTAGATGAAGTATATTCCTACTTAAATAGGACCAAGGGATTTGATAGAGCCTCATAATTTCTAAGATTTTGTAGGAGTAAGAACAACTAATTTTATTATGCGGAACGAAAATTGGGTATATGCCGATTATCGAACCCGTAATTCAGTTTATTTATTTATTATATATATATATATATATATATATATATATATATATATATATATATATATATATATATATATATATATATATCTCTCTCGCACGTGCGCGCGCATGTATACATGCATATATATATTTGTGTATATATACACACACACACACACACACACACACACACACACAGACTCTCTCTCTCTCTCTGTGTCTGTGTGTGTGTGTGTGTGTATGTATGTATGTATGTATGTACGCGCGCGCGCGCGCGCGCGCGCGCGCGCGCGCGCGCGCGCGCGCGAGAGAGAGAGAGAGAGAGAGAGAGAGAGAGTGTGTGAGTGCGCGCGAGAGCGAGTGTGTGTGTGTGTGTGTGTGTGTGTGTGTGTGTGTGCGCGCGG